ATCCGACATTATTTCAGGACTAAAATGGACCAAAACATATAGAAACATAAAAAGTTCAATATGCAGGGGAAATTTGTAGGTCAAAATACCAAAATAGTTTCGGGTTCTTAGGCCAAACTTTTTGAAGGATAACAGATGGCCGTGACATGATAAAATGCTTTCAACATATGTAAGAAAAGCCCTACATTGCTTCAAGAATCATTTGCATAAAAATGGATCAGGTCGGTTTAACATTTGATATAGTCCTTTTATAAGGGTAAATCCGATTTCAAACATTTTTGGATTACTTAACCGATTAAATAATGGGTCTTGACGATCCATTTTTTGGTAAAGTACCAATATAAGGGTAAGCTTTTTATGTTTTAGTAATATTTTCCATTTAATTTCGTTAAATTTGGGTACTCTGACTTATTATATAGTATTGATGTTGTATAAAGCCATCCCCTTTATTTAGTAATTTTCAAGGGTCTTGACGATATTTTCTCACCCCACGCTGTAAAATATACCAGAAAACAGAATAGAAAAGCACTGAAAATTAAAACAAGTAAAAAACAAGTAAGCAAAGGCTATAACCGTGCGGGGCCGACCATGTGATACCCAACAACACTACAATATGTTCGAAGTCCCTTTATATGCAAACCATTTTGGAAGATTTCGTTTTTGAAGTAATGCCAAAGAGCCCTGCCCAGAGGTTACCCTTAGGTTTTTGACCCGGAGAATTTGACCAATATTTACGCACTCCGTAGTATTGTGAAGTATTCAAAACAATTGTACACGAAAGTTGTGGTCCATTTTTAGCTAAATATAATCCAATGGTCATCCAAAATGCTAGACCGACCCACCCCCATGCAACATTTCGTCAGGATCGGACGATAATTGCGACATACATTTAATACCCTCAAAACGTAGTGTTGGGGAGTGTACAAATTTAGAAAATTTAAAATTCAAAATTGTAAGTCAAATTGAAAAAATAGCATGCGATAAAAAAATATGACAAAAATGGAAAAAAATGAAACATAAAATATAACTTTTTTATTGGTATATTATCCCGCGATTTTCTTAGATTTTATCCTTTTCTGGCAAGAGACCATTTCAAATTGATCTGAACTGTGAAAATCGGCCCAGCGGTTCTTGATTTATAAGCAGAATAAATAATATCAATTATTTTGCATGTATATTGTACCTATTCTGCTATATCCGATTTCTTGGCTATTAGCATCACTGTAATGGTCAGAAGGGATCTTTTAATGTATTTGTGATTTGGCTGGGATTAAAAATATTCGCGGTTTAGTGGAAATTGTCCTATTTTCTAACATAAAAGTTAGGGTCTATTTATCTATTGTCCGATGGCCGCTCAAATTGGTAGGTTTCTGCCCAGTCCCAAACTCTAACTCCGTGTAAATTTTCGCGTCGATTGGTTCATAATTGTGACCTATAGAGCAACTGCAAAATCAGGAAATTTTTCTGTTTTTGGTCCATTTCAACCCCTAAATATCGTGCGATCATCTCCAAAAACAACAGGGTTCTATTCTGACCCTAACCCCACCTCCATTTTCAATTTCGTGAGGATCGGTTCATAATTGCGACCTGTAGCTTGATTACAAATTAACATGGACAGACGGACGGACGGACATATATAGCTAGATCGAATCAGCTTGGCGAGATAGAAAGATCCATATATACTTTCCTATGTGGGAAACCAATATTTCGAGGTGTTACATGATTTTTGGCCCAATCAAATTTATAATACCCCCAACACATAGTGTTGTAGGGTATAAAAATTAAGTTAAATTTTAATACCCTCCACCTTAGGGTAAAGAAAACACAAGTAAGCAAAGGCTACAGTCGAGCGGGGCCGACCGTTGAATACCCTACAACACTATAATAAACGATACAGTTTATATAGGCAAGATACTCGAAAGAATTCCACAAGATATTGTGACAAATAATAAAAAAAAAAACCATCAGGTTTCGTTCTCTAATTTTCGAATAATAGCAACTTAAACTAATTTGCTCATTTCCAAATTATTGGTAGATGTTGCACTTAAATGGTCTTCCTAGATCTGGAACCAATATTTCCCAAAGACCTATAATCTCTCAGAAGTGGCAAAAGATTATTATTTATTATTAGTTTTTGACTGAAACGCATCTATATGAGATACAGCCATTTGAATATATTCTTCAACTAAATCAGCGTTGACGAAATAGTCAGAAGTGCGTCTTTCCTGTGTTTGTGAATTCTCCAAAAAGTCACTGGAATGGACATTTTCGTATTTTGTCTACAAAAGTTGGCAAACTCCTTCACACGTTGAATATTTTTGGATGGTCATCCAAAACTGCTTGGCTTTTGCAATGTCCGGTAATCCCCATTCAAATGTGCGTGAGAATCGGGCGATAATTACGATCTCCTGACAATTTTGCAGTTTTTTTGGTGCATTTTAACCCCTAAATATATTGCGATCATCTCCAAAAAGAATAGGCTTCTATTCTGACCTTCATCTTATCCCCATGCAAAATTTCGTAAGGATCGGGCCATAAATTCGATCTGTATATGATATCCTGATATCCTAACTACTTAGTTTTGTTAGCTGTTGAAATATTACCAAATATTTAATTCAAAATGAAAATATGCCAAAAATATGACAAAATGGAAAAAATATGAAAAAATGTTACAAAAACCAATATTTTCATCTTTAGAGAGATATTTGTATGCGTTTTTTAGACGTTTTTCCTTTCCTGCCAAGAGGCCATTCTGAATTAATGAGAACTGTCGAAATCAGTTCAGCCGTTCTCGACATATATGAGATCTTTCAAGCATATCTTCTATGATAGACATATATATCGCATATATTTGCCATATATTCGATTTTTTGGATCTTAAAATCAATGTAAAGATCAGAAGTAACCATGTCATGGCTTTGTGATTTCCCCGGGATATAAAATATGCGCGGTTTAATGAAAATTTTTAAATTTTTGCAACAAAAAAGATATGGTATATTTTACCCGCTAAATATTATCCGATGACCACCCAAATTGGTAGGCTTCTTCCCCGCCCTAAACTCTAGCTACATGCGAAATTCCGCGTCGATTGGTCTATAATTGCGACCTGTATAGCTACTGCAAAATCCGACATTTTTTCAGTATTTGGTCCATTTCAACCCCTAAACATTTGGCGATCATCTCCAAAAGAAATAGGGTTCTATTCTGACCCTAGCCCCACCTCCATTCTAAATTTCGTGAAGATCGGGCCATAATTGCGACCTGTAGAGTGATTACAAATTAACATGGACAGACGGACAGACGGACAGACGGACAGACGGACGGACGGACATACATAGCTAGATCGACTCAGCTCGGCGAGATAGGATGATCCATATATACTTTCCTATGTGGGAAACCAATATTTCGAGGTGTTACATAATTTTTGGGCCAATCAAACTTATAATACCCTCAACACATAGTGTTGTAGGGTATAATTAGAACCCATTACGACCCAAAAATACCAATTTTTAGACAGAAAATGTGGCAAAAATCATCAAAATACCGAATATCGGGAGCTATTCCAAAACGTGGGCCTATACATACAATGTTTCGCCACGGGAGCTAAGACCAATAGAACCAATATAAAACCAATTTTTACACAAATCTGTGAGATGTGGCAAAAATCCGCAAATTACCGAATATCGGGATATACAGTTATATTGGGACTATACCTAAAAGTGGACCGATATATCTCATTTTCAATACCAACCATCCTGGATACAATACAAATTGTTCTGCTGAATTTTAATGCTCTACGTCAAATAATGTTATCTGTATCGTGACTTCAACAGACACACAGACTGACAGATGGACATCGTTAAATCGACTTAGCATTTTATTATACCCTCTACCTTGGAAAGGAGGGTATATTAACTTTGTCATTCCGTTTGTAACATCCTTAAATATTCGTCTTAGACCCCATAAAGTATATATATTCATAATCAGCATAAAATTCTTAGTCGATTTAACGATGGCCGTCTGTCCGTCTGTCTGTCAGTTGAAATCACGATACAGCTCACATTATTTGACGTAGAGCGCCAAAATTTAGCAGAGCAATTTGCATTGTGTCTAGGATGGTTGGAATTGAAAATGAGATATATCGGTTCACGTTCTGGTATAGTCCCCATATAACGGTACCTCCCGATATTCGGTATTTTGATAATTTATGCCACATTTTTTCACGGATTTGTTTGAAAGTTGGTATTTGTAGGTCATAACGGGTTCCAGCTCCGGTGGCGAAACATTGCTTGTATGGGTACATGATTTGGTATAGCCCCCATATAACGGTACCTCCCGATATTTGGTATTTTGATGGTTTTTGCCACATTTTTTCACTGATTTGTCTAAACATTAGTATTTGTGGGTCATAATGGGTCCTAGTTCGTGTGGCGAAATATTGTAATTATAGGTCCACGTTTTGGTGTAGCCCCCATATAACGGTCCCACCCGAAATTCGGTATTTTAATGGTTTTTGCCACATTTCTTCTAATGTTTCTAAGGTGGAGGATATAAAAAGTTTGGCCCGGCTGAACTTAATGTTTTTTTTTACTTATTCTGATTATGAATATGTATACCATATGGGGTCTACGACGAATATTCAGGGATTATACAAACGGAATGACAAAGTTAATATACCCTCCTTTCCAAGGTGGAGGGTATAAAAACTCGACTTTGGTTCCCAGATAACTTTTGTGTACAATTGTCTATTTTAGCTGGACAATGAATATTCCTTAAAATCTTACTTAATCTATGAGGCTGTACAAACATTATTTTCATATTTTTCTTCATTTCAAACCACTGTAACTTAAAATTGGCAACAGGCATATGTGCAGCATGTTTGGCTACTTCAATAAGAAGGGGAGCAACGGATGTGGAATTGGACAAGCGGTCGGAAAACAATAGACATAGACAAATACCTAGGCAGGCCAAACAATAAACCCACAGACAATGCTATTCAATGCTATAACGAATGCCTGCAACCCGAGTTAATGCTCTAAGCCGGGGGTCTCTTTATTCTTCAATTGTGCAGAGTTTAGAATGCGGGCGTGATATAATACTGTTGTGATGGTGCTGATGCTGCTGTTGCTGTTGGTGATTTTGATTCTGAGTTGGATGTTGTTGATGCTGCTGCTGTTGTTGCATTTGGTGTTTCGACGAGGAAAGCATGGAACTCTTTGTTGTTGTTGGCGTTGCTATTTGGCTGCTTGTAATTCCAGAATTGTTAAATTTATGCTCTTGCTGCTGGTAGTGTTGTTGATGATGCTTTCCCATTTTACTTCGGCTGCTGCTACTGCCAACACCAGCACCAGCACCACCACCACCGCCACCGCCATAACGCAACTTATTGTGATTGGTGTGATGCACATAAATACCGGTATCACGCAACTTCCGGTACAATGAAATATACTTGCCAGCTGTTGTGGTCCTAGGAACTATATACTTTTCACAGAATGTCGTTTTACTGCTGGCCGCTTCGCTTAACTTATCGTATGTCAGAGCTTGCAGGAAGGTCAACACAAAAGTGTAGCAATTGTGCTTATCCTCGTGATAATGTGACACTGTCCACTTGTCCGGCTGCTGGCATACCTATTGGACGGTAATCCAACCGAAAAAGAGGAGGAAGAGAAAAAGGTGAAAGAAAAAAAAAAGAGTTAGTATGTGGTCGTTCATAATGTATGCAAAATTATATATGCAGTTGTTTTCGGTTTGGTCCTCACCATGTCATGCCATGGCTGAGGAGGATTAAAGTTATGACATCGAGTGATTTAAGCAACGAGCGTCAAAACGTGTGGGGTTATTAAAAGGGGATAAAAAGGTATCAGAAATGTGAAAGAAACGATGGAAAAATGGGAATTAAGGACTACCTTGGATGTATTCTATAAAGAAATCATTAAAAATTAATCTCGAGATCGCAGGTATTATTGGAGTATATAATTCAGATTATTTTAAATATGCCTCAAAAGGTAAGGAAAATTGTGTTTCATATAAAAAAGGATCCCATCTCTTTTTAAATAAATGTTGGGGTCCATCTACCCATTTATTTTATTCCGTCCATTAGTGTATCAGTCCGAATATCTGGCACCTCCTCAATATGGACAAGTTTCATTCAAAACTTTGCACATTCCAACATTTTTTGCAATTTTAAATCAACAGAATGTATATTAAACAAGTAAAAACGCATTAAGTTCCTCCGGGCCGAACTTTTAATACCCTCCGCCATAAGATAAAGAAAACATTTAAAATTAAAAGAATCGGTATTGAATATCGGATCCACTTCGATTTTTACCAGTGAAATCGGTTGGTAAAAAGTCTTAAAAATTCCGTTATGTCGAGGTACCGACTTACGAGTGATAAAGAAATAATCAGCCTACTCTCGCAAACGGAATTTTATACGACTCCCCTGAAAAATGTGGCTCAAATCATTATCAGAATGCCGAATATTGGAAAGTAATGAAACATGGGGGCTTTAACAAAACCTGAGCCTATATAGGCAATGATCTGTCACAGGAGGTAGAACCAATTATAAACTTTAAGTTTCCAAATTCCGTTTGAAAATGAAATCTAAATCGTCAAAATATCGAATATCGGGAAGTACCGTTATATGGAGGCTACAGGGAACCGTGGACCTATATAGACAACATTTTCACAAGAAGTGGAACCCATTATTTAATCTACGAATCGCATTTCAAACATTTCCATTTAAAAATATGGCTTAAATTCCTAAATCCCCGAGTATCGGGATGTACCGCTGTATGAGTTCTATAAAAAACGAGGATCTATATAGACAATGTTTTGCCACAGGGGAAAAACTCGTTACAAACTCTTAGAACAGAATTCTAAACAATCGTCAAAATGCCGAATATCGAGAGGTACAGTTAAAACGTGGACCGACATGGCCATATACGAACTTAACCTGCCTACTGACAAAATGCATATGTACGGGGTGAGATGAAAAAACTGCAACCAACTCAAAAATCCTGTCATTTCCAAGCCACTCGTCCGACAGCTGTTAAAATCATTCTAGTGACAGCTCATTGTTTACAAGCATACAGAAGAATTTTGGTGAGCATTTTCCAGAAAAAAAGTTATTCGTGATGGAATTCAAGCGTGATAGTGTGATTTCTTTATATTTGGCTGGAAAACCACAAGTGGCTATTGCAGCACTTAAATGTGAATAAATCTTTTGTGTCTCGTACCATCGCTCGTTACCGTGACACTGGTAGCGTAAACCGACGTCAAGAAGGTGGACGGAAGAAAACAGCAACATAAGCTGAAATGGTTCGACAAGTAAAGAAGCGACTTGATCGACCGTGGCATCAGAATAAATACCGAATATTATCGCGAAAATATTCTGAAGGTGACATTTCAACAGGACTCAGCACCATCGCACTCAGCACGCGCCCCACAAGAATGGTTACAAAATGAGGTTCCTCGATTCATTTCCAGCGAACAAAATGACCACCACCAAAATCTTCGGATAACTATCCGCTGGACTATTGTATTTGGAGTATTTTGGAAAGTAAGGTTGGCACTAAAAAATAACAAAGTGTCGATCATCTCAAAGAAGCGATTCGCCGGGAATGGGCCAAAATACCGCAGAGCAACATTCGGGCAGCGTGTGACGGTTTCATTAGCCGTTTAAAGGTCATAATTAGTCCCAAAGGTGACCAATTCGACATTTTTGGCTTTCATGCAATGTTTTTCAAAATCTTGAAGCCTATGTGGGAGGGGAGGGGTTTATCAGAAGAAATACTTCGAACTCTACCATCTTTATAACAGATCTTCTGTTGATGGATATATTGAGATGGAATCGGATGTAAATTTCGCGTTTTATGAGCTTCATTGATATTCAAAATTTTGACCCTTTGTTGGGGGAGGTTCTAGAAGGAGTGGACCGATATATTCCATCTTTACACCAATGATGTATGAAATTTGAAGACAATCGGACTCTTATATCACATTTTATAAGACTTATAATTATTCAAAAGGTTGACGCTTTGTGTGGGAGGTAATTGATGGAGTGGATTGATTAGTCACATGGTAAACATACTGGAATGTGCGAATTTTAAAGAGAGGATTCAATTTAAGTTTGGGATTTCAAGTACTTTTGGGCCAATATTCTCCTTACTAAAAACTACTATATGGGTCGTTTATATAATATCGCAGTCGCAACTCCGATTTTCGGTATTTCGAAGGTTTCTGTCAAAAGGAAGTACTACCGTATAAGCATACTTCCTTATTTCTGAAGTTTAAGGGATTCTGTCTTAATTTCCAACCGAGTTATTTGTAATTTAATATTTTTGGATTTCACTAGGTTTATTTTCTTCTAGCCAAAGGGGCGACACGAGGTGTTTTCCGAAATGGTTAATATTGTATTTTATTAATTTTTTTATGTCCTATGATCCGATTGAGATGAAATTTTCCACAAATCATTTGTTTGGCTCAAAGAAGAATCCAAATAGGATGCATTTCGGCACAATCGTCGAATTCAACATAGAAGCAAACACTTAAAATTAGATGAAAATCGGTTCAGATATAGCTATAGCCTCCATATACACACCAGATATCAGATAGAGCTTAGAAATACTTCTGCCAAATTTTATCGAGATCGTTTAAGATTTGGATATAGCTTCCATTTATATCTATATCTGATTTCACGTTAATTGTGCACCTTATCTGTAATAGAAGTTAAAATTATGTGGCTTTGCCATATTAAACCGGATTTATCCTGAAAGCAAATACGACATTTGGTGAAACCCGCACATGTTTATACCTCCATTATATTTAGTTTTGAATCTATATCATCTCAAAGTTATGTCAGGACATTTAAAGCTGATCTATGGTTGTCCGTCTGTATGCGATTTGGTCCAAACTCGGAACATCGTAACATTATTGTGAAATTTAGATCGAGTTCGCAGACGGACAATATCGGTCCACTCCTTCCGGTACCTCCCCCACAAAGGGTTAAAAAAGTGAATTAACCCAAATATCATAAAATGCGAACTAAACATCTGATTCTTTCTAAACTTCACACATTCCCATATTTTTACTAGCCCAAAAACTGTTAGGAAGATGACAGATATCGACCCAAACTTTGTGGTACCTCTCCCAGAAAAGGTCACAGTTTCCCATATTTCTATATCTCATAAATATACCAAACAAGTCATGGATTCTTTTCCAACTTGAAATGTATATCTCAACCAGAGATCTGATGTAAATATGGAATTTATCGGTCCACATCTTTGTGCACCACCCTCACACAAGATTGAAACTTTGATTAATTTTTCGCATAAAAATGGATTTTCATTTTATTTTCTTTAAATTTTGCATATTCCAATACTGTATCAGTATTACATGAAGTGAAACATTTTGGTCCCCTATATCTGGCAATTCTCTTTAAGGATCGCCTAGCCTATAATCACGGCTTTTTTCTATAGGTGTTTAAGGATCGCCAGCTCTCATTTTCATTCTAAACTGTTCTATACGAACATATTAAATTTATAAAAAATGTTTACTCGACCCAAACTCTAATTTTGAAAAGTGAAGTCCTAGTCAAATTACCACTTCGACATTCGACACTTCCATCCACATTAAATCAGGCGACAATTCAGAAAATTGCATACAAATCGCTTTCGCATTACAACTTACCTCAAATAAAACTTGATCCCAATAATCGTACCAGGGCTCTGGTACATCGCCCACCAATAGACATTGCCACCAATCTGACATATTGGCCGTGCGATGGCGTCGTAAGCCATGTCGATCAAATTCCACAACGCAGCCGGTTGATGTTGTCACAGCAATATGCAAATCCGTGGTATTATTATAATCACTGAAAGGAGACACACACACACACACACACATATACATTAAAATATTCCATTACAAAGGGACATAAGAGAGGGAGAGAGATAAAATAGAGCAAAAGAAAGGGAAAACGAAAAATTGTACTCAAGAATATAATTGATTTAAGTATGGATTTCCAGCCATGGGAAATAAATTGAAAAACGTATTCAATAACAAAAAAAAAAAAGTTCCGAATGGGAGGTAAACGGGTATGGAATATTAATATAAGGAATGACAACATAAAGACAAAGCAGAAAACTACTCACTTGAGAAAATCACCTGTGGTGGGACGTAAGACTATAGCACAAGGATATTGATTGGCCCGAACAAATGGATAAGGCAAACGAAATGGCAAGAGGCGGCTGTCCATAATACGACAAATCGAATCATTTGAATTCTCCTCGTCATCGCTGTCATTGTCATCTTCATCGTCATCCTTATCATCATTGTCCTGATCCATTGTGGCCTGATGTTGTTGGTCATTTCCATTGTGCCATTGATCATCATCATCATCATCATGATTATCACGTTTATTGGCATTATTAACATCATGGCCATGACGGTGGCCATAATGTCCTTTGGTGGTGGTGGCCGTTTGGGCATTATTTGTAGCTGAAGTCCGTTTCTTGGACTTGTGCCGTTTGTTTGTTAGGCCACTGCTGGGATGTGTGTCCAGTGCCGTTTTACATTGTGGACAAATGTGTGGCAAGGTAAAACAGAAAACTTTCACATTGCAATGATGGAAGCATAAAATGCCCGGATCTGAGGTAATTGTGGTCGTTGAAGTTGTTGCTGAGGTCGCTGCTGCTACCGTTGTTGTTGTGGTTGCAGTTGGTGGTGCCCGAGAGTTTGAAGGAATTCCACCTAGGCCACTACCACCAGCACCTGCCGATGAAATACTTTTGCTCATGATTCTTGTTGTCATGCTTTGAGTGGATACCAATACTGATGCTGGCGCTGCGGATGATACGTGGCCAGAAGCTGTATCTATAGTTGTTGTTATTGTTGTTGTTGCTGTTTATACCTTTGTTAACGTCGATGTTAACATGAACTATTGTTGTTGTTGCTGTTGTTGTTCTTGTTTGTTTGTGCTATCCTCCAACCTGACCACAGAAAATTGAATCACTTTTATTGCTTTCACAGCAATTGTCTGTCGACTAGAGAGAGAGGTAGCGGCTAAAGTTTTATGGAGCAGCTATTGTGCCGTGTGAGTGTGTATCGTCCTATCTTTCAATTCCACTCGATGGTGATGCTGCTATTGCTGATCCAACAAACTGCAATGATACGGAAAAAAGAAAAAGAAAGAATCTTGTAAGTTTTAGTTTGACATTAACATTTGACAATTGTTTCAGGGATTTCTTTCTGGGTTGAAAGTTTGGTTTCATTCAACCATGAGTGTCGTCCATCTCAGCATTTTTTTCTTCTTCTTTCGTTTTCCTTTTCTCTTCGATCAATAAATGGAATGTGTGTGGTTTTAATTTAATTTCAAAGAGTGGCGTTAGAAAAAAGGAAAAGAAATGGGTTAAAGTTCGGTCACAACGACCATTTTAAGTCCTCCTCTAACAGAATTGAAAACCATGTAGTATCTTTCATGACTTTTCAAAAGATATACAATAGAGAGCCTATTATTCTATATTACTCATTATTTTCACATTTGGTACATACATTTTAATGTAATTCTGAATCGATTTATACAGGGTTGCCCATATTCGACGGACCTTTGGGCCCTTTGGGCCCATTCCAATCGACGAGGCTTGTCCGCAGGCAACATTCTTTGCGTCAATTGAATTTTGTACGGGAACAAATGCAAATCAATGCGAATAATCCGTTGTAAAGTGAACCGAGCCATGCCCAACTGCTAAGAACGGCGTTTTTGGGATGTTCTTGGGGACCTCTCAACACTGGCTCGTACGGCAGTGATATTCTCGGCCGATCGCCTTGGCCGACTTTTATATGGCCTCTTAGGATTAGAAAGAGCCTTACCAGTCGAAAATTCGTCGTATAAGCGCTTAATGGTGTTCTTAGAAGGCGCACTTCTCACATTTTTTAATGTTTTAAAAGCACGTTGAGTTTTCACAATTGACTTCTTCTGTTGAATGTAAATTTCAATTATTTCTGAGCGCTCGCGTGGCGTGTATTGGTTCATGGTAAAAATCTGCTTGGACTGACGCGGTATGTCATTAAGCGATGTGACATCTCTGTCAAAAGTTATGGCGTTGCCAGATGGGTCCGTCGAATATGGGCAACCCTGTACGTGTCAGTCCATCTGTCCGTCCGTCCGTCCATGTATTCCTTTGTACACATTTTGACATTTTGCGAACAATATTAGTTTGGCCCAAGGACGAACCCTATTGAGATTGGAGATAATCGGATCAAATTTAGATATAGCTCCCATATATCTTCAACCGATTTCGGGTTAATTGTGCACCAAATGGCCAATATCAGTTCAAATGACCTGAAGTTAGGCACATCCGGCCGAATTTGTCTAGAAGCAAGTACATAAAATTTGGTGAAGATCAATTAAGAGTAAAGTACTTCAAATTTGGTGGAAATCGATTATGATATAACAATTGCTCCCATATATATGTTTCATCCGATTTGGTTTTTAAAACCCTCACATTCGTAATATGTATTTGACAACAAAACTATTTCGTACCAGATATCTTATAGAGCTCGGAAATACCTTTACCAAATTTTATCTTGAAAGGCTAAAATTTGGAAATAGCTCTCATATATATCCTCAATCCGATTTCAGGTTTATTGTGCAAATAATGGCTAATATCAGCCCAAATGGAGTGAATTTAGGGACGTACGTTTCCATTTTGAAGAAATCGGCTCCGATATACATTTTTTTAATATACTCCTTCTCGAAGTGGCATAATGTATTCTATAGTAATTTATAATAAAAGGTTAATGTCTAAGTTAAATTTAGTCAAAATCGATTCAGAATTAGACGTGCTTCCACTATATTAGTTCCGGCTGAAACCAAATTATAACTACTCTAAAGCCAAATGTTGATAGGCTCAAATAAATTATTTTGTCACGGGAGCCCTACTAAATATGCACAGAGGTGTAGGGTATCATATAGTCGGCCCCGCCCGACTTTTGACTTTTCCGTACTGGTTGTTGTTATGCAGTAGAAATAGAGATATATTTTCTTTGGTGACTCATAGTAATATTAGACGAAGAAAACATCATTCTTCTAAAATGATGCTTTGTAACATCGGCAAAAATATTCGGATGTGCTAGGATTAAAACAAAATTTATACTGATTTCACGTTTTATGAGGGTTATTTTTATTCAAAAGGTAGTGTCCCAAAATCTCCTGAATTAGCACCTAAGCACCTAAGACTTTTCGAAATATTACAATGTGCCAAGCTATATCGGGTAACCTCATCGCTCAATATGCAATTTGTATTTATATAGCCTCAGAAATATGGATACCGAGACTACAAGTCTTTAACGGATTTAGACCCTAGGCCTCTTTGGACCAAATCCGTTTCAGGTCATATTGATCTAGGGTTGTCCTTCAGTCTCTCTGTCTGGCTGGCTGCAGCGCACTACAACTCTTGAAGGGAGTATCCGCTTTGATCCAAACTTGGTACATCATAATATTATTGTCAAACTAAGATCGGATTGTCAAACTTAGCTGGAGATAGGCAACATTGATCACCTCCTTCTGGTACCTCCGCTACAAAAGGTCGAAATTTCCAAAAAAAAAAATATTTTACTACACAGAACTTTCCAAATCCCAATATTTGCATCAGTGCTAGGTCAAGTGCGAAAATGGACAATATCGGTCCGCTCCATCAAGTACCTCCCCCACAAAGGGTCAACATTTTGAATAATTATTACCCTTATAAAATGTGATGTAAGAGTCCGATTGTCTTCAAATTACACAATATTTTTATTAACACACAGTCTGGTGTCAAGATGGAATATATAGGTCCACTCCTTTTGGTACCTCCCCCCAAAATGGGTCAACATTTTGAAAACTAATGAAGCTTATAAAACGCGAAATTAACATCCGATTTTATTCGAACTTGGTACATCTCAATATTACCATCAACACAAGATCTGTTATAAAGGTGGTAGAGACCGGACCATTTCTTCTGATACCTGGTCGGAAAGCGAAACAAGCATCCAACTCTCTTCAAATTTCACACATACAAAAATGATTGAAAAGGCAAGGTCTGTCATGAAGATCATATATATCTGCGAACCACAAAAGGGTCACAATTTTCAGTACTTTTTCTGTCATAAGTTGCGAAACATGTCAGCAATTCTTTACAGCTTGCTACATCTAAGTATTTTTCTCAACCAGAAACCTAAGAAGAATATGGAATTAAATAGCATTTATTTTTTCGCATAAAATTGGATATAAATGTTCGATATTCTTGTAATTTTGTCCATGTCAATATTTTTATCCATGTTGGATGAAGGGTGAAAATGGTATACCTTGATCGACTATATCTGGTAAATCACGCACATTTTAACATTAACAAGTAAGCAAAGGCTACAGTCGTGCGGGGCCGGCCGTTGAATACCCTACAACACTATAATAAACCATACAGTTTATATAGGCGAGATACTCGAAAGAATTCCACAAGATATTATGACAAATAATAAAAGAAAACCATCAGGTTCCGTTCTCTAATTTTCGAATAATAGCAACTTAAACTAATTTGCTCATTTCCAATTTATTGGTAGATGTTGCAAGTAAATGGTCTTCCTAGATCTGGAACCAATATTTCCCAAAGACCTATAATCTCTCAGAAGTGGCAAAATATTAACATTTATTATTGGTTTTTGACTGAAACGCATCTATATGAGATAGAGACATTTGACCATATTCTTCAACGAAATCAGCGTTAACGAAATAGTCAGAAGTGCGTCTTTCCAGTATTTGTGTCCAAAAAGTCACTGGAATGGACATTTTCGTATTTTGTCTACAAAAGTTGGCAAACTATTTCACACATTGAATATTTTTGGATGGCCATCCAAAACTGCTTGGCTTTTGCAATGTCCGGTAAACCCCATTCAAAAGTGCGTGAGGGTCGGGCGATAATTACAACCTGCTGACAATTTTACAGTTTTTTTGGTCAATTTCAACCCCTAAATATATGGCGATCACCTCCAAAAAGAGTAGGCTTCTATTCTGACCCTCATCTTATCCCCATGCAAAATTTCGTAAGGATCGGGCCATAAATGCGATCTGTATATGATATCCTGATATCCTAACTACTTAGTTTTGTTAGCTGTAGAAATATTACCAAATGTTTAATTCAAAATGAAAATATGCCAAAAATATGACAAAATTGAAAAAATATGAGAAAATTTTATAGAATCAATATTTTCATCTTTAGAGAGATATTTTTATGCGATTTTTTTAGATGTTTTATCTTTCCTGCCAAGAGGCCATTCTGAATTAATGAGAACTGTCGAAATCAGTTCAGCCGTTCTCGACATATAAGAGATCTTTCAAGCATATCTTCTTTTATAGACATATATATCGCACATATTTTGCTATATATCCGTTTTGTTGGATGTTAACATCAATGTAAAGATCAGAAGTAATCTTGTCATGGCTTTGTGATTTTGCCGGGATTTAAAATATTCGCGGTTTAATGAAAAATTTTGAATTTTTTCAACATAAAAGATATGGTCTATTTTACCCGCTAAATATTATCCGATGACCACCCAAATTGGTAGGCCTCTTCCCCGCCCTAAACTCTAGCTACATGCGAAATTCCGCGTCGATTGGTCTATAATTGCGACCTGTATAGCTACTGCAAAATCCGACATTTTTTCAGTATTTGGTCCATTTCAACCCCTAAACATTTGGCGATCATCTCCAAAAGAAATAGGGTTCTATTCTGACCCCAGACCCACCTCCATTGTAAATTTCGTGAAGATCGGGCCGTAATTGCGACCTGTAGAGTGATTACAAATTAACATGGACAGACGGACAGACGGACGGACGGACATACATAGCTAGATCGACTCAGCTCGGCGAGATAGGAAGATCCATATATACTTTCCTATATGGGAAACCAATATTTCGAGGTGTTACATAATTTTTGGGCCAATCAAACTTATAATACCCCCAACACATAGTGTTGTAGGGTATAACAATTATCACACACATATAAAGGAAGTAACCAATATAGTCTAAACCTGGAACGTCGCAATATTTATATCATATTTATTAAAGTCTGAAACGAAATGAAAAATATTGGTCCATTCCTTTGGAACCTGCTCCATAGAGG